ATACGTATTCTCGCATTGTCGGCTCGGTCTTGTTATGTTCCCTTCACGACATTAACGCGTAAACATCCACATGAGGTATTCTAAAAGTTTGCTGTATTCTGAATGCGAAAACATTTTTAAAAAATCACATTCAAAGAATAATACATCCTACTCTGTGGCAGATGCAGAATGGATTTGAGATTGTTCATGAACGAAATTGACCTCAATATTGTTATCAGCCAACGAATACCATTCAGTTTCCACCGACTGAATTCAGAAATCAACTGCGTGATGAGACAAATCGTACGGAAGCAGTTTATTCGTTAGAATAGTTAAAGCAAAGCCACTATGCAGAATGTTAGTCAGTTGTCGTGATGCAACAACGGATGAATCATAGAATTATCACGGCCGATTGTGAAATTGTCTCCATAAATCATACACAGTCAAGTGTAAAGGTACTGAACGAATCATGAATACCATGCATAGACGTTAGCGATAGCATTCGATTGAACGTGCATTTTTATGATGGTCGAAAAATGACGACGATGGTGATGATAATGCAAAAGCTCACAGTTGTTTCTGCATAAGCTCACAAAAGCTCACATATGATCACGTGTCGACAAGGAGAAGGCCCTACACTAACATGTGCACAGTCAATTGGTAACGTCACATGAAAAATTATTTGGAATGCAAATTAGGTGAGCTATATGTGATGTTATGCCATGTTAGGCGTAGTGATGCACTGAGATGCTGATGATCGCTGGAAAATTTCATCAGTTTTTCGAATGGTTTCGATAGAATGTGGCTCGAAAATGACTGATTCTGAAGAATGTAATTGTTCGAAGAGGGAAAATTTGAACCACAAACAAAAAATTGCTTAGTTTCTTAACAAAACACTATTGATAATTCCATTGTTGCAGTTGAACCGAATCAATTCTATTGTGCTCAGAAACATGCGAAAAATGACTCAACTCATGGATGAAATCAATTTTAAAGAGGAATGCGCTGTGAAAAGATTCTCGGAAGTTTCGTCGCTATTGTTGTTGCTGTTGTTGTTACCGTTCAACTAAAATGGAAACACATCGATCAATACGAGTGATTGAAGAAGATGAGCAATGAAACGACGTCAAATCATGTTTAGATGCCATTAAAAATGCACAATTTCTTCGAGGGAAATTTTTTGCGTTCGTGTATTATTAATAATACTTGAAAGTTTTATCGTGAAAATTACCTAATTTTGTACAATCACTTTTTGCTACTTAAATAAGATTGCCTCGTAGCGGTCGAATAAGAGGGACCATAATGGAGTTTTAGTTTTTCCTCCGCAACGCCATCTGCTCAAGTTAAGTGCTTATATTGGATCACAATACTTGTGAATTGCATGAAATGCATCATCGAACGTAGAGTGGATTGTATGCATTCAAGAAAAAACATCTTCGAATATTCAACAACTAATTACCATTGAAATTGTCATATGCAATTGGAAAATTTTCGTTCAGTTTTTACAACTGATGAGAGTGGAACATTTGATTTACGCATTCTGCTGGTTTAAAATGCAAAAAAATATGCTACATTCGTGAATGTGCGAAGTCAAATGAGCGAAACTCGGATGCGATTCAATTTGCGTATCGCTCAATTCCAACGATTATACGCATTTGGTCGCTCACCTCAATATCAGAGCAATTGGTCGCTCACCTCAATATCAGACGTGTCGAACTCAATCAAAGACAGTCTCTGACAAAGCATGCCCTATCCATCAGAGGCGTTTCATGCAGAAAATCCCACTAAACACTAAAGTGTTTCGCAATTTCTATTGTTTATCCAAATGATCTGAATCATCCTTTTTTCGTTATCCATTGCAGTAAATCCTTCTAATATTGCAATAAATTCTTCCATGTTCTTAAAGCTATTGTTTCTGCACTGTTTGTATTCAGGATTGTGTTGATGCTAGTGGCCGTTACAACTATTCATTGTTGTCTTGCCTTTGCAGCAAGACCGGTTTTGCAGTTTTTCGATAAATATATGCATTAAGCATATGTTCATCTAAATCATCAAATGACCGCCATACAAGGATCTTTAGGGGATTGAATTAAAAGATGTGCAACTAATTACTCGCGGAATCTCAGGAAGAGTCAAAAAATCAAGAGGATTATGTCTGCAAAATTCATAGCCAATAGGAACTCGTCAACTATTGCACAAACTGCAGTTGACGTCCAGAGAAACGGCTGAACAATGAATAAGCAAATGCCAAAAAAATTGCAGTGAACAATGAATGACCAACCATTTGTGTTCAACGAAGTTTTGCACAGTACAATTGAGCGCTTTCAAATTTGTGTGACGTTGACGTAGCAATTGAATGAAAATCCAATTAATAAACTCTATTCACTTTAACGCGAAATGATTGTTCAGTGCTGTCACCAATTTTTCATATTCACATTTGACGTTAACATAAAACTGATTATCGTAAACACAGTAAAGTATAGTTCAAATAAATAGCCGTCAGTGAATGTGTCGAATATGAAGCCAAAACAACCGAGTGAAATACAGTTGACGGGGTCGCAAATACAGTGAAATAGAATTGTCGCCACTTTCGACTAATACTCGGAGTTGTGTTCAGCGCTGAAAACTCAGCCAAACACAATCGCCTGTCGGTGTGAACGATTCAATTCCATGAAACAAATCGATTTCAATTCAGTGCTTTAATATATGAATATTTATTCAATTTCATTCACTGATGTGAAATCATGTCAACGGATTGTATGTGAAAGCGCAATGGTATTAGAGTTGTAGGCTTAGAACACCTCTGATTGATTGCGACTGACACTTTCTATGCACTAGATCATCCACCTGCCAGTGTTTGATCTTTGACGCTTCCGTTCGGTGAGACTGTCGGCTGAAATGTTGAGATTTTGATCGTTGATGTCATAGAACATTGACAACAATGACTACTACGATAGGTTACGATAACATCCAATGCAGATAACCCATTTAGGAAGCTTCACAAGTGCAAACGAGATAAAAAGCATCAAAACACTGATAATAATAGCAATGACAGTGATGACACGAGTGTTGCGATACTAGATATTTGTAATGAAGTTCTTAAGAGCAATATAGCTGACGGCAAAGCAGCAGTAATCAGCACAAAAATAAGATTCTGAAAAAGCAATTAACAACATCTACAACGTAATAACAACAACAAAAAAGTCGGCGAACAGTATCGAAAGTATCTAACGTAAGTATTTGTTGTGATGAGAAAGCAGCAGATTATAGTGAGCAGTACACAAATAAACGACAACATCGCATTATTCGTGATCGAGTAATTTAAGAAGTGTTAGCCGTTGAACAACAACATTCTTGTGTTTAAGTAATCGGTGATGGCGTGAACGATGATCTATGAGCAAACAAATGATATGTTTGCATTTCAGAGAATCTCGCAGTTCAGTTGGGTCTAACGTAACGATGAACGACTGTGAATTCATTTCGAAGATTTGTCACAAATCTTGTGCGATAACACTCTGAGGATTTCAAATGAGACATCATCCTTGAAGATTGTCGTGAACTATAAGATCTTTGATTAGTTGCTCCCTTTAAAATCCTGAACCTGCAACTTTTTAGATCTCCAACGTTTGGTGAATTCTACAGAACACTGATTCCCTCACAGATCAATAGAAACCAAAATTTTCAAGTGCGTTACATTTGAGTAACCCTTTGTCGGCGTCTATAAGCCATATTCATGATATATCATCAAAAATTTTCAGAGCTGCATATTTTAAAGGATCATTCAATTACACATCTGCAATATAAAATGTCCTCATCAGAACAAAATAGGTCGATCTCTATTCATAGTATATGCATTGAGTGAAGAAACGATGGTAATCACGCGCAACAGCAATTAATCAAACAAATGAGTTGCTAAAAACAAATTCATTTGTGACATTCACATGAGCAGTTAATCGAGAAAGTGAGATGCGAAAGGTGTTAACTGCTGTNAATGAAATTGCATTCACAATGTCGCATCAGTTCAAAATCATTCATCTTAGTAATTTCACTCACGGAATTCAATTGAACGTCGTCGACCCATCACTGATTGCGCACTGAATCAGCTTCAATGAACAATAACAGAAGCACTACCTGAAACGCATTCGTAAACTGCTCACTAGTCGCTAAAAAAGGCTGGCCGTTTTTTTGTGAAAATTCTGACGGAACACTAGAAATAGAGAACGCTCCAAGGAAAACAAAACCCCTGATTCGTTTACATGCAAATACAGCAAAAAAATTCGATCAATAGACAAAGAAATGGAGGAGTACACAATTCATT